TATTAGTAAACTTAAAATATGTTTCAAATACTTAGGAGCACAAGGTTCTTTTTTAAAAAAGTGAATAAATGATCAGACCTACAGTGCAGCTGTTTGCACTCAACAGGAGTTAGCTGCATACACACACTTTTAGTCCATCATGGACTAGCATCATGACTCATCAGCATAAACCTCTGCTTTATAGGTTTTAAGGATCCCTGCTGTCTATGGTTAGTTGACTTTCTAGTGGGCTACCTAAGGTAATGATATGTTTCTCTGTACCACCTGAACATGCATAGATACCGTACCAGCTATGAGTGAACATAGGAAGTTCCTATGAACATAGGAACTTCCATCTTAACATGAGGAGGAACTTCTTTACTTTGACGGTAGTAGAGCACTGGAACAGGCTGTCCAGAGAGGTTGTGGAGTCTCCTACTCTGGAGACATTCAAAACCCGCCTGGACGCCGTCCTGTGCAACCTGCTGTAGGTGACCCTGTTCTGGCGGGGGGGTTGGACTAGATGATCTCCAGAGGTCCCTTCCAACCCTGACCATTCTGTGATTCTGTGATTCTGTGAGTGGCAATGCCCACAGATTCTTAAACCTAAAATGTAAGCTAACAAATTTGGCTTTGTGCTTAACTTGCCTCAACAGGCTATGAGAAAGCACGTAGGCTGCAGGAAACCTCGGGTGTCCAGGGCCACAGGCACGGGGAAATCCAAGTTTTGTGGAATTTCAGTGAGAATTTGGAGATTCTGTTCCCCCTAGAGACTGACTTTTTTACAGGCAGTTCTGGGGTTTCTGACTTTTTTCTCTCTGAGTAATTAGGGTGTTGACTTTACCTGGTACTTCTGAACAAGAGCAGACTGATTTCTTCAAAACATTACTGCCAAAATTGTTGTATTTTCCTTAACCCGCTCAAAAAAGGGTGTACTATCTGCTTCTTCGACAACATTGAAAGCCAGAAAAAGATGACAGCTTTTCATTTTGCAATTTTGTTTTTTGCAAATAAATTCTATAGAAAACTCCTAACTCAACCCTCAAACAGCAGTCTGACTGAAGGCTAGGAAATGCTTCACATCCCTTTAGCCATCAAAATGAATCATCTATTCTGATTTATTCATCTAGGCCCCTTTTACAGCCAGCACAACTAGCACCTCTAGCAGCAACTCATGAATTACCATGAGAAGTAGCTATCTCCCTCTTGCCCGTAGTGTGACTTCGCTAAACTTTTTGTCGACTGGAGACTGCTGATAGCTTCTGGCCATCGTGCTCATGAAGCCATTATGATTTTAACCTTTGGCTTTTGTGTGTTATTTCTCTTACATTATCAGTTCCATGTATATTAGTCTTCAAGCATACAGATGTTGTTCAATCTGCTATTGAAAAGGTTTACATCTTAAAACTTTTTGTAGTTATCAAACAGCCCGAGAAAAGAACAGAAATCCAGAAGCTAATTTTGATTTTGTCACTGTCAAGCTGTGTGTGGCCCCGGGGCTAGCCTGTCTCCTTGCAGCCTGCTCCGACACAGAGGAAATGTGTCATTGCACAGCTCTCAGCAGCAAAGGAAGGACCAAATTGTGACTCATTGTCACATTTCTGTTTGACTCCTGCTTCTCTCTTGCTCCACTGGGGAAATAAGTTGTGGCAGACAAACAGCTGGGACAGAAACCTTGTCTTTCTCCTCTCCTCACCTCCCCAGATTAGATCCGTGTACAGTCTCCGGTGCATTGCATCAAGCAGAGCTAAGTATCTGTTCATTCTTCCCTCCGTGGGAGGATAAAGTGACAGGGGACAGCCATCAACCTTGCACTGTGACCTCCAGTAGATTGGACTAGAAAGGACCAACTGTAGGGTTGCTGCTGGAGCTATTGTGCGTACACAGATTAAGCTGTACGTTGGTAGAAGCCATTTCTTGGAGGTGCCAGGCTTTTTGTATTCATATTTCAGTGGTGGCAACTCTAACTGCATCTGCCATTGAGTCCAGTCCATTCCCCGTGTTCACGAACACAGCAGAGTAGCGTAGTTAGATACTCGTGGCTTTCTAGGCAACCTCTTAAGTGGATCACAGTAAAGTCCCTGACAGAATACTCAGTAACAGTCAAATTATTATTATTATTATTATTATTATTATTATTATTATTATTAACAACATAAACACAGTGTAACAGGACAGAAAAGGAAGGAATAATAACAACAACAACAATAATAACAATAATAATACTAAAATCATCCTGAGAATGTCACAGAGACAGAGTACTTAATATCTGCACCAAGATTATTTTTTTTAATACCGTTTTAAGGACTTCCACATTTTAACAGTACATTTCTGTGGTTGCAATTACGTGTAATATGAGGATGCTGAAGATAATCCTTTGGAATCTTCCCCTAAATATTTGCCAGCAGGACATCTAGGTCCTGCCAACTTTCTAAGGACATTTATAAATTTCTGTCTTCAGAGATCTCCTTTTGTCTTTCACTGGGTACACTTCACCAGTATTTCCACAACTAATAATTTGTAGCTGTGGAAATGAATAGGCAGTGCGTATGGCTTGCGATGCAAGTAGACAGGTATGGGTCATTGCCTGCTGGCTACATTTTTAAGCTACTTAGTCTCATTGTCATTACCATGATGTTGACCTGAAAGAGCACCCCATCGGCCCCATGCATCTATCTCTGAATAGATTACAGTATTGACACGGGCTATCAGAAAAAGATACCCTGAGATGTGCATCAACAGTATCACTCTGGCAGGGCTGGACCACCTCTCTAAACCAGCAGCCATGCTGGCCATGGCAGTGCTGAAACCTGCATCACTGTTGTGTCGTGATCTCTGATGTGTGAGCACGGTACCCCAAAAGGCAAGGAGCCCGACAGTCTACCTGATGTGTGTCTGACAGTGTAAAATAGAGTTAGGAGTACCTATCCCAAGGAGCAAGTAGTTTAATCTTAATAAAGTCACAAAGATCCCAGCAAATCAATGGCTGGCATGTAGTAGGAAACAAAAAAATAATCAAAAAGGAATTGTGTGAAGCAAGGGGTATTTTAATAATTTTTGATTTGTCCAAACTATATGTTGCTGAAGTTTAGATCTGAACTTTCAGATTGCCTTGCTAGTGCCCGCAGTGGCCCCAGAGGAAAATAAACTCCTGTGAAACATTAGCCCAAGGCTGAATTCTTAGTTTTCTGCCATAAGTAGAATTTCCATCTCATGGAGCCAGAGTTCCAAAATCAGCCAATTAACATAAGTCCATTCCAAATATAAGAAAACAGAACAAAACAAAACAAAACAAAACAAAATTAAACTAAACTAATTATATACCTTATTTACTTGTTATGCTGAAGGTCAGGTTATTGTGGAGCTGATGCCCCTTATCACCTGAAGTCTATTGCTTTGCACAGAAAAAAAACACAGAAGGCAGACACAGCATATGACAGCTAAGGAACATCTATAAAAACATGATAAAAACACTATACAAAACATTTTCAGACTCTTCGCTTTATTTTTATTCTATTTTACAGTCTTTTATTTTCTTTCTTTAGTAAGATAAATGTTTGAAAAGTCACCTGCAGACTGACTGAAGTGTCTTCTATTTCTGATATTAATTTTTGACTAAAAATCTTGTTAATTTGGGAGGTTTTTCACTTGAGGGTACTTCCATACTGCTTCTCTGACACTGATGGTATTAATGCACACATTTTGGAAGACAAATATAATTTCACAATTTTCCCAGATAGCAGCTACAGAGTAAGAAATATTTCCAACAAACCTAGTTTAAGAATGCACAAATAAACTAGTGCTAGCGTTTGGGTTAGGGCTGTCAGGCTGAACCACCTGTTTTGACAGTATTTGCTGCCAGAAGCAAATTACAGATCCGTCCAACTGCTGATTAAAAAATCATACGCACATCATCTCCTTGCTGTGGCTGACCAAACATCAGGTAAGGAGTGTACAATTTGACATATTCCGAACATGAATCCTTTCGAAGACAACAGGCTCTCTCTCTAATAGTGCTTAATACAGATCCTCTTACAAATATTAACAATGAAAAATGGAAGATGAAAAGTACAACTTTCATACACCAAAATGCCACATAACCTTGACAAGTAGAATAAAAATAACTTTCAGAAGACTGTTCAAAAGCTTTTTTTTTTTTTTTTGTGGTGTTATTATTAAATTCTGATAAACAGTGGAGTAATCCACACTGGAAAAAAAAAAAGATTGGAATGAAATTCAACTAAAATATTCGGTATTGAATTTAAAGAAGGTTGCATTTTAAATATATCCCCTGTCTGACTGTGGCTGATAAAATATTGTTATGCATCTAAAATGTTATTTAAATATGAATGGTCAGGAAATATTAAAGTACATGAAATATTCATATTTTAGAATATGTATTTATTGGTTAATACAATTGCCTTTCATTCTTGCAGGCCTAGCTCTGGCATAGTTATTTCAGCACAACTTTCACCGACTCCTTTAGAAGTTTACCTGAATAAGGATTGCAGAGTTGATAGATTTTACCTTCAATAACTTCATGTACAGTTCACAAATACTCTGTGCTCCTAACTGAAAAATCAGGGCCACCAAACTAAGCTATTCTGACTCCAGCAAATCTCCAGTTATAAGGGACTACCAAAGCTTTACCTGAGCAAAGGCTTGAGGGTGCAACCACCTAACATTCAGATGTTACCCTTCTTGTATCACTCCAATGGAGCTGCCCAAGCAGTGTTGTTCTGCAAATGAGACTAACACTATTTTTAGAGGTGTACAGAGATCTAGCTTCAGTAACTGGTAGAAACTCAGCTTACAGGAGTGAAAAATGAAAAAAAAGAAAAAAAGAGGAAAGAAAAGCCGAAAGCCATTCAACAAAAAAAAAAAAAAAAAGAGAAAGAAATTATCCTGGAGTGAAAACATTACTTGCTAAGAGCAACAAATCATATTGACATGTTAGCTCAATTACACTGTCAAAGTACATATCATTTTTGGTTAATTATATTTGAAAATAGTTACCGTACCTTCTGCTGTAATCTCGGCCATGATGATGATGGTAAGAGATACTCTGTTAAAAAGGTCAGGATCTAGTGTGGCAGCTTAGATAGTACTTCTAGATTGCTGGCTCTTGCAGGAGCTGCAGAAAGAGAAGAGGGAGGTCCTCTGCTTTTTTAAATTCTGTTCCTTCTTCTTTTGCGCCCCTCTGAACTTTCTGTTTCCTCTGCAGACTCACAGAGCAACCTAAGGCCTTCCAGAGGCAACACTTAAAGCTCAGTCTAAAGTATCAGCTTCTAACAAAAATAGCCATGCCTCACAGTGAATCTTCAGCATTTTTTTCCCAATGTCCTAGGAAACATGCACACTACAAATAAAAAGTAAAAAGACCCAGCTCTAAACAGGACAGGAACGCATGGAAAGGCAGCAAAAAGCAAAAGAACTGGGAAAGAACTGTTTAACGCTCCTGCAGCCTCGCTAGCATAATTGCAGTTCTTTGGAGGGTATGTCAGGAAACATGAAATATAGAGTTCAAAGTAACCTTATCCATCCCAGCTCAACTTTATTCTTAGCACAGTCAGTGCTTAGCACATTCTTCCTGGCCTTATTTGGTTTGGGGAGGGTCCTATGAAGCTTGCCGCTGACTTGGGGGGGAGGGTAAATTTAGGTGGTTTTCTCCACTTTAATTCTTAGTTGCAGTTCAGAGCCAATTAAGACACCACTTTAAACCTATGAAATTGGTAACTTCTTCAGTTTGGATTTTTTTGGTGCTCTTCTGGTTTGCTACAATTGTCACACATACCTGTGAAGTTTATCTAAGTATTACAGAACACTGTTAAAAATGTATATAGTAATAGTTTGTATACTCTAAATGCATAAACGTAATGTGAAAAAATATTAAGCAGATCAGATTTTTTTCTAGGTCTGATTTATGGAAACAATAAAATAGTTCAAAAAATCTGTGATTTTAAACCAGGTTTTATCAAACTGAGAACAAGTAGACTTTTAAATAAATTTAGAGGAACAAAAATATTAACAATTTAAATAAGAATAATGATTTAAAAACGTGAGCAATATTTTCATTGCATTGCTTGCAACTTCACAGCTGTGGAATTATGTATGTGGACAAGAGCTTGAAAATGAAATTAGCAAAAAAGTGCTCTCGAGCCAGCATACCTCTACATAAATGTCATCGTCACATGAAATCAGAAACCATCTTAAACAGTTCTTACTAGGGAACCTATAGTCAGCTTGTCTCCGCCACATGGGCTGGCATTTGCACTTCTCATCTTCCCCCCAGGAGATATAAGCACCTGGCTCTGTGACAAAGTATAAGGAAAAGGATCTGTTTATCCAGGGCACAAGATGGAGAAGTGAATGCTCACTGAACAGTTCACAGTCACCACCAGGATTTTTCTCTTTGCCCTACTCTAATACACTTCAAACCTGCCACATATCTGAAAATGTTAGCCTTTGCTAGCCAAAGCTTACAATCAGTTCTCCATCCCCTTGCTTCTTCAGCTTTACAGACCAAATCTTTTGCACTGACAAGTTTTGATTACTCGATGCTCAGTAGTCAGTGCATTTCTGATCATCCTCCTAACCCTCCGTTTGATCCTTCACCCCATCCTTCAGAAGATCTGCCTCACTAAGGCTGATGAAAAGATTTCAGACAAAAACTTATTCCTTCAAAAAATACCCTTTCATGAATACTGAAATGTTCTGTAGAGTCACATTCCCATCAACAAAACAGCTGCCTACAGTAGCTCGGTGGTTAGTAAGGGGTGCTAGGACGTGTGATAGTAAGGCAAAGCCCTTGTCTGTCTTAATTACTTCTTTCTCTTCTGCTGGAGCAGTGCCATTTTACATGAAGTTAAATATTTTGGGTCATCTGTATTTTGACGGCTATGCTACTTGCTTGACATGTAAGAGGTATCACCTCAGCTGAATACCCCAAGCACAGAGCTAATCAATATTGCAAAGTCAGGATTGCTTTCACTTGTATTATCTTTCCAAGTGAAATAAAATAATAAAGGCTCAGTGTGGGTATATAAGAAGAGAGAATCGGGGAAAATATTCATGTCTGAATTTTGTTCTTTTTTTTTTTATGCAGCAAGATCCTGAGAATGTGGACAGGCATA